GTGCCAAGGATGTGCTAAGAAAGCATCTTATTTATATTAATTCAATCCTCATAAAACCCAACAAACAAGCTCTGATAGTATCTCCATTTGACAAATACACTGCAGCACAGAGAAATTATGTAACTTTCCCAGGCATACATAATAGATGAGAACTGTCAGGATTTGAACCCAGGTGTGCCCAGACTCAGCATGTCCATACTCACCATTCCAAACTGGCTGTCCTCAAATAAAAAAGAAACAACAAAAAGAGTGGCAGGGATAGCAATACCAGTCATTAAAGGAAGAACCAATTCTTAAATGGTGAGAGAGACAACTGAAGCTTAAGAAAAAGAATCAATATCTGGGAATACCCTGTCTCAGAACTGGTGTTCAGGAGTGTGGATGGGAGGGAGGGAAGGAGGGGCTAATAAAGAGGCAAATGGATCAGGAGAAAAAAAAAAAGGTGGCAAAAAAACAGAAGCAAAAAGTAAACACATTCAGTTCTGCTGTAAATATTTTTATAAAAATGAGGATGTGGGCTGGAGAGCTGGCTCAATGTGTAAAGGTGCCTACGACTAAGCCTGAGGACCTCAGTTTGATCCCTAGGATCCACATGATAGAAGAAGAGTATCAACTTCTACGAGCTGTCCTCTGGCCTCCAAGTGTTCATACACTTAAGTAGACACACAACAAAGAAACACACAAACAAACAAATGCAATTTTAAAAAGGAATTTTCTCCAAAGTGTTCAATTCTGTTCAGGAACAAATTTTGTCTATGTGCAACTTAGTCCCTGAGAAACAGTAGGTGAAGCAGGTTACCCAGCTGAATGGAGCCCTGCAGAAACACACTTGCGCACATCCACCACTGCCCTGGGTTCATCACAGTGCCAACCACACTCATGAACATCCCCTGCACTTCATAGAGGATCTCAGAAAACACACCTGCCACAGTTTCACAATCACTCACCTCTATCCTACTCCTGATACCCACTTCCACTGGCAAACTTCAGAGCTTTTTCAAGGTAAATGGCACATTTTTCATAGCATGTATGCAGTCCTTAACTAAGTGGACTAGTGTCTTTATTGGGGCTCCTTTTCCAAGTTCCTGTGTGTGTGTCATTAATGAAGTTGTTAAATGCTGAGTCCCTCACCAACCTCTATTTTTTCCACAAGCCCTGTGATTCTATTGCACAATTTTGCATAACAGTGATTTTTAGGAATGTGGCTGTGGCATGACGGAACTGAATGCACACAGGTAAAAACAGTAATTATAAAACACTGACTCAGCAGATACCAATCAAAATCTATTCTACACACACTTCCCTCCAAATAACAGTAAGAAGGTTCAACACTGGTCACACATTAAGACTAAAGTGTAAAGAATTCTACAGAATGAAACTTGTAGAGTTCATGCTCTGATAGGACATTAAAGCTAACTTTTAATATAAGTGGGGAAAATGGCACTTACAAGTTGAAAATTATTCTCCCTGCAAACTCAAGTCAAAAAGAAACAAACGTTAAGTACAGTTTTAGAATATTTAGGGAAAAAATAATGAGAAAATGACATAAAAATTTCAAAGCTAGTTAAGTTAAAACAGTGCTAAAAGGCAAGCTGACTGAGGTATACTTCCTATTAGGATAAATGGACTGTCCATTTAGTGCTGGTGCAGCAGGAGATAAAATTATGAATGAAGAAGAGCAGAAAGGTTAAAAAAAAAAAGAAGCAGTAAACTACAAATATATTCTGGAGGTATGGCATTGGGCAAAATCCAACAAAAATAAAGTTTTACCAATCTAATTTTAAAACTGAAGAAAAAACTCAGAGAAGTAATTTTAAAAGATAGAAAAAAAAAAAAAAACTACAGACAGGATACAGCCTTAAAACCTAAACAGGTTCAGTAAAATTTCTATAAAAATTACCTTTTAGCCAGGTGTGGTGGCGCACGCCTTTAATCTCAGCACTCAGGGGGCAGAGGCAGGCGGATCTCTGTGAGTTTAAGGTCCACCTGGTCTACATAGTGAGTTCCAGGACAGCTAGGGCTATAGGGAGACCCTGTCTCA